GTGGGGGTGGGTGGGGGCAAGCAGAGTTAAAGCAATGAATCATTCCACCCTTAGGACTATCTGTATCAGGGTTTTTTTCTGAAAGCTCTACGTTAGCTACATTTCCTTCTTCAAATTACTTTAATTTCTGTTTCAGCTGGGGGCGAGGAGGGCAGGGATTGAGAAAGAAAAGCAATTCAACATTAACGGATTTGTATGAAACACTAGAATCTRGATATGTCTTGCGTGTTCTTACATCCTCTCAGGTGTCACTCGGGTTGCTGACTTCTAAAATTCTTATGATTTTTATTTTTCTCTGAGGTATGCTGTAACATGGTTTTGACACCGAGTTTCAGGAAAGCAGGACAGTAAAAAAGTAAAAGGACACTTTTACTTTTGAGCTTTCACYTGTCATCCCAATAGCCAGAACAAGATCACCCACCTCCCGCTAGCGTTTTAATAAACTTCTGAGAAAGTTGGGCAGCGACGATGCCCAGAGCGCGGAGCGCGGCTCTGACAGGCGCTGTCCCCGGGCCAGCCCCGCGGGCRGGGACAGCCCAGGAGAGGGGCGGAGGTGGGGACAGGGACAGGCCAGGAACAAGGGCAGGTCAGTGGCAGTCACAGGTGAGGGACAGGCCAAGGGCAGCATCCCTGGTCCGCGACATCTAGACCATGAGACTGGCCAGTCTTTCCCGGGACTCTCGTACAGCCCCCCAGCCGTCTTTCCCTCCAGCTCCAAACCCTGCCGTTTCAAACGGAGGAACCCTCCCGCCCCCAGACCCTCACCCTCCCGCAACAACCCCGGCCTGGCTGCGCCCCCGCCCCGCCACCGCCCCGGGGCACAAGCCCCGCGATGACCCCAGCGGGCCCGGCCGTGCAGGTGGCGCCGGATCTCCCCTACCTGTGCCCGCCTCCGTCACCTGTTGCCCGGCCGCCTCCATCGGCGCAGCCCCCCGGCGCCTCCTCCCGCTCCGGCGGTGCCAGGGGCTTCTCGGGCTCGCGGGCCACCTCCATCCCGCCGGGCGCCGCCTCCTCCTCCTCCTCCAGGGACTCCACGTAGAAGACGGTGCGGGGTGGTGGCGGTCCCGGGCCGTGCCCCGTGGCCGGCCGGCCGCCGGCGGGCAGCAGCGTCCCGTTGGGCGGGCTGGCTGTGGTGGCCGCCGAGGAGGAGGCGGAGGAGGCGGATTTCTTCCAGAAGACGCCGTTGCCTCTCTCCTGGCTCTTCAGCAGGCGGCTCTGGCTCGGTCCCCAGTGCTCGAAGCTGCTGTCGGGCGGCAGGCAGCCTCCCCCCGCCGGGCCGCCCGCCGGCGAGGGGTGGCTGAACAGTTTCCAGCGGAGGCGCAGGATGTGCTTCACGTCGAAGTCTTTCCTGCCGGAGCCGGACATGGTGCCGCGGCGGGCGGGGGACGGACGCGGGCTGAGGCGGGACTCACGGCGGCCAGGCAGGGCCAGGCGGCGGCGGTGGCGGCAGCGGCGGTGGCGGTGGCGGCTCCTTCGGGCAGCGGTGGGCTTGGAGGGCGAGGGGTGGCAGCCGCCGGGAGGAGAGAGATGCGCGCACACAGCAGTGCGGAGAGAGAGAGGATGAGCGATGCACAGAGCCAAGAGGAGGYAGAGACACCCAGCAGGAGAGGGAGAAAGAGAGACGGAGAGATGCCCAGAGCTGACGAGAATTGCACGGTGATCAGTGGAAAGGGGAGGAGAGAGAGGCAGAAATGAAAGACACCTCTCAGGGGAGACGGACACTTGCGAGGGAAGAGCGGTGAGGGAGGCTGCGACGACGCTAATCTGATTAACGGGGGACCGGGCTACAGCCCGGAGAGGAGCGGCGGCGGCGGCAGCAGCCACAGCAGGAGGCAGGTGGCACTTCCTCAGTCGCTTTGAGCTCCGTGACCGAGTGCAGACAGAGAGGAAAAAGTCACCTGGAAGCCTCTCTCCACCTCCCGCCTTGCCATCCCGTTTCTCTGGGGAGTCCCATGCYCGCCGTTATCTGGGATGGCAAAGCCTGAGAGCTGGCACAGAAAGAAATCGGGGCTCTTTTATATGCATTGTACGTAGGAGGGGGAGAAAAAAAAAAATCCCGCCCGTGAGGCTGTCAAGGTCCTCAGTATACAATTTTCTGTCTATCTCGGCGCCTCTCACCAAGCCGCCCCCTCCCTTGCATGTGACGCAGATGTGCTCTGGGGCCGTCAGTGTGAAGAGACAGAGGGAAAGAGATGCTTCAAGCTTCCTCGTGCAAGTAAGTCGGCAGGTCACTAACTGCCCCTCGCAGCCTCCTCCTCTCTCCAGTGCAGATCTCCTCACCTGGGTATTTTGGTTGTGAGGAAGCTGTGTATTACTGGGAGCAAAATGAARTACAACAACAAATGCATCAGCAGCAGTAAACACAAAAATGTGAATCATAGGAGTTCTGACTTATAGACTGCATGCAGACTGGATGAGGTTACAGGTTAACGATATATTCTGCAGGCTCCATTCATTAGCCTGTTGGCTCAGTGTTGCTGTTCCAGTAGAAAATATTGGCTAGAGGGACAGTGTGTCAAACAGAAATAGCACAACACATCTGCTTCTTACCTTTCATACCTGTTCTTAATGCAGTCTGACAGTGCTAAACCCAAGGGAGGTTCCTTTCACAACTTGAGAGATCTGCTTAGGAACATCTGCCCACTTGGGAGGGGTGTCACAGAGTACACTGCATCGGGGACATAATTACAGAATTAAAAGCTTTATGGTGRAACGTAGGAGAGGGATATGGCAACAAAACTACATATCGTCACCTGCTGGCTCACAAGCCTCATGCATGAAAAGTTGGCAGCAACAGGATGATATACAGAATACTTAAAATTACCTGAACCTTACTAATTAATATTTTAGAAGAAGATTGATCTCTAAGAAAATTATGAAATGGGTTGTATTTTCATCCAGTAATCTTTGCCTTGGCCATCTTTACCCAAGCACTCATGAGCTCTCAAAAGTTTGTTATTCTAACGTTTTGTGAAATCAAAAAATAAGGTAGAAAGTATTATTTCCCTCAAGCTGGAATGTTTTAACTCCTCATTCATAAAGTATTATAGCTTGAAAATTCCTCCAGGGAAGCACAAAATCAAACACAAATTAAAAATTTTATTACTGTTATATTTACTTCAGGACTGAAGTATATTACTGTTTTGTTCAGTTTATCAGTGAAGTGCTTCTGGATACAAACTGGTATTAAGGTTTGTGTTTAACACTGATAAATTCCTGGATTTAACAGAACAAGAATTCAGGGCACCAAGTCCTACTTTCAAAGGAAGAAAAATTGTCACTGTGCATTTTTAATATTGATTTATGCCACAACAGCTGGACTGGAAACTCCCTGGTGCCTCAACTTTGCTCTCAGTATTCAGTAATAAAAAAGAGACAAAAACCATTCTAAACCAAACAGAAGAGACAGTTCATTTTTATCCAGGAACTGATCTGAGTGATTATGTGCTGCTTAGGAGACCAGCAGGAAGAAAAGCCTAGAAATCTGCATCTAGAATAGGACAGATGAAACGTCAATAATTTCTGAAAGTCTAGAAATGCATCTCTTATAATGATATATATGAAATAATCTATAGTGAATACTGGCTACTCAGTGTCTGGTTACATGCTTTAAAAGATGGGGATATGTGCATATAAAATAGTTTTAATTAATGAATATATAAATAGGATGCTATCTCTTTAATAYCTCTCCACTGATTAGGCCAATTCAGATACTCTGATTTGAGGAAAATTGCATCGTTTCCCTGCCATATTATAAATCTTGGTCATTTTAAAATCTGTTTTAATATTTAAATTGATCATTTGATGTGAACAATTGATAGGTTAGACATTCTATCTTTACTTAACCTACACAGATAAATATAAATGACAGCACATTCCAATGATGTATATTTCCTAAATATACTTMAAAGGTCACTCAATGAATATATATTACAGTATCACCCAAGAAAGTGATTTAGATTTTTTTTATCACCYGTACAAACTATCGAGAAGTTATGAGGAAAAAAGGTAGAAAATACTTTAGGTTATTTGTTGTTCATATGTTTTTACTTAAGTTGTGTCAGTAATTGAAATAAAGTCTTGGATTTTTTTAATAATTAAAAATCTCAACTCTTCAATATATCATGTGTAGGCATTGAAATACTTCTTACCATTACTTGGTTCTTTCATATTTTAGTACGTAATTTCTTTTTGCTGTAAGAGATGCATTAATTTGGCATGTATGCCTGATTTYTCCTGCGTGAAGATGTATGAACATTTTAGTATCATAAAATGAAGTCTGGAAAACTGCCTTGATTATCTTAGCTCACATCACAATCACTATTGTTTTGTGAATGTGCAGTAAACAAGAGGTAGCCCTAATAAAGTTACATTGAAGAGGCAGTCACTGTCAGCATTTATGGTTAATTAATAAATTGGTTTCCTGAGCATAAAGTAAAAGAATGAAGCAGGGTGATTAAGTTAGTCTTTCACAGTTTCTTATCTTCATGTTTCCCTGTGAATGCTTTTGACATATGTCAGTGAGGCAAAGAACATATTCTGGATTATCACATTACAGGAACATAAAATGTGTTTGAGTTTCAGCTGAAATTTCTGGTACACAGAAAGATTTACTTAACTGTAGTTTGTCTGGAATTGCTTCTCCATCCAGGAGAAGAAAACATGATTCACTACTGGAGTTCTTAGGACCTCACTTACACTAAAATAACTAGCTCACTAGTCAATATGTCTTAGTCTGAGGATTGACACAGATACATTAACAGAACTATGAAATTACACTTGTCTGTTAAGTTGTCAGAGGGAAACATTTWGATGTCTTGCGTCCTTCCATCCATAACTTATATGTTCCATGAAGTATGGCCAAAATAATAATGATCACAGGTATTTTTTCTCTTGATTACACACTGTATATCACATTGTATTTTTGTTTATTAATAAACAGCATTTCTCAAATTCCTCCCCTGATGTAGTTTCCCTGGATTATTCATTGCTACTCAGATCTTGAATAACTTTACAGACTTCGCTCGAAAGTATTCATAGCTCTTTTTTCTTCATCTATTAGTCAGGCTAACAGATGAAAGTGGTTAATCTTTATGTTCCTGTTATGAGTCAGATTCCTGACACTTTCTCTTTGTGTTTTTGCCTTTCTAATGCTCTTCAAATGAAATAAATTCACATAGTCATGTCCCTGAGGAAGTCTCATGCTCATGTTTTGTAGGAAAAATGGCCTAGGGATATATATCCTTTTAATAAATCTTTCAAGTAGTAAAAAGCACTTCCAAAGAGAAGAAGCTTGAAGTAGGTATCCAAACGAATCAGATTTTATTAACCCTATTTTTCCCTCCTTTCCATTGCAAATGTTTGAAGTACTGTTTATTTTTAGGCACATGGTTTACATCGAGCTGTCTGCATATTGTACGCCAGGGACAACTGGTGGATTAGGACTAAAGTTGTGTTGTAGTTGCAGTTATTGATTGATAAAACAAGCAACAGAGGAGCCATCATGTAAAGAAACTGCTTAGGGTTAAGAGTAGTCTTAGTCTATGTGAGTCTCTGCATTACATAAAGTCAAAAGATGTATCAAGTGAGTCTGAGGGTGATGAGCTTATGTGGGTACTGCGGAATGGTAGTTATTAATAAGAGAAGGGATATACCTCTCAGCAAATTAAAATGATAAGGCCTAATTTCGTTACTGAATTTTTTCCTATCATGTATTTTTAATCCAGAAGATGCTAAATTTCAATGAGAACAAGCCCAAGGAAAAAAAAAAAAAAAAAAAAAAAAAAAAAAAAAAAAAAAAAAAAAAAAAAAAAAAAAAAAAAGTGTGCTCTGGATAAGGATGGTACTAGAATGAATAGTTTTACAACAATTCTCACTTGAATATGGGAATTCTCACATGAATGAATGAACAGGCACTTCAGCTATAAAGACACTTATTTTGTGGGTGGTTAATTACACATTCAGAAGCTAGAGGGTGTTGTGTTAAGAGAATGCTGTGAAACAGAGCTACAGAATGCTCAAGCTAAAGCAAGTGCAGAAAGAAATTGATGGGATGKGACATCCATTGAGAGATCAAAATTCAGTGCAGAAAATGTCAGTGTGCTGAGTGATAAGCAAATAAATAATGCTTTACAATTAAGCTTTAAACTTGGTGTGTAAAAAGCCTTTGAACAAGCTTTATGATATGTAGATATATTCTAAGTCTGTTTTGATAAGTAAACTGAGAAACACTGGGAATAGATGGCAGTAGGGGGAAATTAAACTCTTACATTGTTTATAATGTATACACACTGTGTTGTGGCATTCCTTTGAGTCAAGTTGTTGAGCTGATTTTCCTCCCGTAATAGTATGCATAGTCATATTTA